AAAATTTGATGCTCTTTTAATTTAAAGTCTAAGAGAAAAAAAGTTTCAAAAACTGGAAAAACAATGGGCTTACGGTAATTGTTAATTTTAATAAACGTTCTTGCAAATTTAATATTTTGACTATGTATGGTATAAGAAACAAGCCAATTTTGGAAAATTTACATTTCACCTAATTCACATAATTTTAGATTAATTTATTACGTGGCTCATTCTTGGCTTATGAATCAAAATAATCGGGAAACGTACAAAAAATAAAAAAAATTATAAATTTCATTTATAATTCTGTAAAAATTCGTAACTTGCCATTTTTTCCAAGATACTAAGAAAAACGTAAAATCAATTAGTTGTTTCTTAATTCCTAAAAATCTATTCGATGTTACTGGAAAATCCCTGAAATTTAAATCTTGAAATTTGAATTTAAATTCTCTTATTTCATAAATAAATAAATTAAAATAAAAAATAATTTGGTTTTGGTGTTTAAATAATAAAATTAATATGCAATTAAAAATGTTGAATCAATTACATTTTCACATATTTGTTATAATGGAATCATTATTCTAATAAAATTATTATTGAAGTGTCCTTAAACGACCCTAAATTATTGTTAAAGAGTTAAAAATATTTTCAAAGAAAAAAGTTTTCATTTTCTAACGTTCTAATTTACTCTCTTAAATTCATTCTTACTTTATTTTAAATAGTTTTCCACTAAAATATTTTCTATGAGTGTTTTCCTCCAATTTTCTATATTCGGTTGTATATATTATAAAAATTTTTCAAAGCATAAAATTACATAATCAAAATTTAATATCTTAATAGCATTTTATATGTTTATTACTGCAGATGCTACTCTTTTTCTATCTCATCTTAAAAATCTTAAATTTTGTTCATCATTTCTATATACATATTTACAATATATTAGTATATATGTATGTAAATCTGTACATATCAAATTTTGTAGATATTCTCTATAAATATACATATATGTACATACATATACAATTTTCAATTCACCATTATTTCAAATTAGGAATCACGACCATTATATTTTTTTTTCCTTTTATTTTATCTTTTATCTATTAAAGACAATATTACATACTCTATAATTATATATAGACTTATAAAAAATGTGCATATAAAATATGCAATATATATAGTTCATTTAAAAAAAAAATACAAAACGTACAAAATATCAACATCATCATCTTATTGCAATGAAATTCAAGGTTCGTTGAAAATAAAACTACAAAATATAAAAATTTCCTCTAAAGAAAAGAAAAAAAAAACAAAAAAAGAAAAACTAAAATATAGTAGCGTTTGCTAAAATTGTGTTTTGTTGCTGATTCTGTACTCCTAGTACAAAATTTTCACATTTGTACACCTACTAGATTTATAAATAAGGTATGAGAGAGTGTATATGCCTCTTATACATTTATTGAATAAAGTTAGAAAAAGCAGAAGAAACAGAAGAAGAAAAATAGATATTATAAAATGTGCACATTGCACAAACATTCACTCATACGTGCTATTATGAACGCGTATAATTGAAAATATAAAGAGGCGACTAACCATAGGAATGAAAATCGCCAAACATCGGTTTAAATTTGTTATATATATATAGGTACATAGAAAAGAAATACGAGTATAATGGTGTATATATGAAGAAAAATAGATGAAGAAAAAAGCAAAATAAAATCGAATTGCATTATTGCATATTAAGAGCTCTAACAGGTTGCAGTTTATAAAATAGCAAAAAAAAATAAAATAAATAAAATATATACAAAACTAAATAATATGTTTACTGTAACATCAATGTTTACTCGTTATTATTATTGTATGTTTTTGTATGATATGAAAATTGCATTCAATTCATTTTTCGATCTAACACTGAAAACTTGTTCAAAAAAATTTTTTTCGAGCATATGTTTTCACTCTAATATACAAAAATATTTTTTTCTATTTTGAAATGTTAAAATTAAATTTTATAGATGTAGGAATTAATGTTTGTCCCTCTTCTTGTTGATATAATATATTGGTTTACCTATAAATTGATTTGGTTGAATATTTTTGATGTTGGTTTTCATGCTGACTGATCGTTCACTACCGCTGAACCAATATGAAATAATACTCTGTGGTTAAATAGTATTTGGCTTTTCATTTGGATTTTCAATTCATTTCCAATTATGCATACATTATAAATTGGTTAATTGTCAGTTTATATTGTTATAATTGCAAAAGAATGCTACAAGATTTCAATATTAATTAAAAAATAACTCTTAATAATACAAATTCTTAGTGATTTATTAAAACTTAACATTATTTTGTACGTATTTACTAATTTACTAATTGAGTTATACCATATTTAACATGAATTTTGAAAATTTTAGCATATGCGATTCACATATAGAACAAACTTTAAACATTGTTATTTTATATAAAAGTTTACAAATTATTACGTTTACATTATGGAACAAATTCGAAATGTAGAATGCTAAGATCGTACTCTTTTGACATTCGCATATTAGCGTTTTTACAATATTTATATCAAAGCTTACGAATTCTATTACAATTTATAGAGAAAATAAGAAGTTTATATAATGGAAAAGTATATAAAATTAGTCTAATTTTTTCTCAATTTCTAATACTGTTGAATATACCTTTGCTCTGTGTGTTCAGAATAAGGTTTTATATACTTTAGTTCATAAAGAATCATTCATTCTTCGTCAAAATTTCTAAATAAATAATATTGCATTCAATTCATATCTCATAAGCTACATAGAAAACGGGGTCTTTACAATATGAAAATTTTCAAATAATTTTAGCAGAAAATATTAAAGCAGTTCGATTTTTTGTACATTTCGAAAAATAATTGTGTAATTTTCAACAAATTTTCATTCAAATTTTTAAATATTTTTTATGTTTAATTTGAATATGTAAGTCGTACTCACTTACTTCCAACTTTCTGTAAAATTTTTTATTTACGAGACTCTGAATACCCTGTTTGTTGAGAGCTTGTTTAGTCTTCCAAGATTCCCATAAAGCTAAAATTTTTTTGAAAATTCTCTTACTTTAATTTTATGATTTAACCTGAAGAAACGTTTAATAAAAAAAATTGTAAGTACTTAGCTTGCAGTTTTCTATTCCACAACAATTCCAATTATTTTTAGAATAAAAAGTATATAGTTCCTTTTATCCCTAGTAAATTTCATGTTACATAAAAGGGGAATATTATTTTAATAATACTGTATTTAAATTTTATTAAAAAATATTTAAAGCATAAATTGCAATTCCATTTACGATATGATTTTTGTTCATAACAAAAAATGCTATACAACTTTTATGTACTTTGCCTAAATGATCATGCACACGTGTATAATTGTTGTTGGCATGTTGCCATCGGGAAACAGATAATTTTCTCTTTTGTTTTATTATTGTTGTTGTTATTGTGTTTTTCCTCTACTCAGTATATTGAGAAAGTAAACTATGCATTTTGGATATTTTTTGGTGTTGAACTGAACTTCAAAAAAAAAAAAAAAAAACACAAAAACAAAAAAAAAATTTATTTGAAATTTTCAGAAAATGCAATTTTTGTAGTTTTTCTTTTTTTTTTTGTGTATTTTTTCTTTGTTTTGTTTTTTAACTTTTCTATTTTTCTGGCTATGATTTTCCTCCTGTTGATATGCCATGCATTCCATATACATATACATACATATGCAGGTACATATAAATATTTTGTGAATTTCCACTACGTAATGATTTTATATATTGTATACATGTATGTATATTTAGACTTTTGAATATATAGGGAAAATAACATTTGAGAGTTTTTCTTCAAATAGTTTTTCAACCTGTTGCTGTTGCACTTTACCATATATATATATATATATATACATATATGTACCTATATAAAAATTTTTTGTTGCATATTGGTGATGACTTTTTTGAATGAAATTTTTTTGTTTTTGGTTTTTTGTTTGTTAGTTTTAATAGTAGAGAATTATTTTTATTTATTCTAGACGATGCAATGTTTACAAATTTACCGCGAATTTTTATTAAATTTTTAAAGATGTTTTTCTCTCAATTTTATTTTTTTTTTTTTGGATTATAATTTTTTTTTGTGATTTTTCTTATTATTGTAGTTTTAGAGGATCTAATATTGAAATGATTTGTTGTTGTTGCTGTTGCTGTTCTTGGGTATTTTTAGAAACATATGTACGCTCATGTATTTTTATTTTTTTTTTTTTTTTGGAATGTTGTTTTATAAATTATTATAGAAAGGAATTGAATTAGATGTTGAATGAATGAATGGATGAATGGATAGAAAAAAATCGTGATCTAAACGTTTTTATTTTTAAGAATTTTTGTTTTTGTTTCTCTTTTATTTTTCATTTTAATATTTACAAATAATTTTCACTAGTTTGTTTTATTTTAAGACGGTAAAAGTGTTTTTATTTTTAAAGTTTTTATAGAACAAACTAGTTTTCACTTTTATTAGTCTACATATGTATAGTTCGATATAGTTCGTTGTTCATATTCGTAATTTTCACTTTCTGAATTTTATGTGTAAACGGTATGGTAAAAGTATAAAATTCATAATGTATGAATAATGGAACTTATTCGCATCATTCAATTGCTTTGCTGGAAAATGTAATGAATTTCTAATTAAAAATCAGTTGAGAAGTTTTCGAAAATATTATTCTATAAATAAATATTAAACTAAAGATCAATTTTAAGAATTTTAAGAATTTTGATATTATTAAGAAAATTTTCTTCTAAAATCAAATTATTAAAATGAAATCTAATGATAATTGTAAAAATTCACAATTTACGAATGCTTATAACTGAAATATTTTAGCAAATAGGAATGCCAAATATTTTAATATTTAATTTTCTTTGATTTCTTTGATTTTGTTTAGCTCAATCTAACTTAATTAAATTATGAAATTTGTAATAAATTATAATTCAATTTTGTTCTAATTTCTATCTTTTTTTTATATTTTCAGATTCCAGGATCAAATTTAAAAAAAAAAAAAAATTTTGTATACTGCAATTTTTAACAATAAAACATCAAAGACATTTTAACATAATTTTGTGATAAAACAGTTTTTATTATTTAGAACCATTCCGTATCAATAAAATTCAAAAAAATATCAATAATATTATAGGAAAACTGGTATTAAAATGGTATAATTTTTTAAGTAATCTAAAAACATCACATTATTTACAAATCACATTTTATAAAAAAAAAAAAAAATTAAATTTAAAAAAATTCAAAAGGACATAAAGTGGACATTTTATAAGAACAAAAACGAAAAAATAAAATTTTCGAGATTACTTTTTTTTTATTTTTCCTTTTTATTTTCTACATTTAATGTTTAAATATAAAAGAAAAAATTGGCATTATTTGTAATTTATAACTGCCAAAATTGTTTTGTAACTTGAGATTCAAATGAAAAAATGGCTGAATGCTCTCATGCTAGATGCCTTCAAGAAAGACGTAGCATAAAACGTGAACTATTAAAATGGTCTAAAGACATGGTACAAGTTGAAGGTAAGAATTAATATTAATATTTAAAAAATAAATACGTGAATTTACATTTATTTTAATTTTAATGTTTAATTTTAATATTTTTCTATAAGTAATACACTATTTTTTATATCGTATTTCTAATGGAAATACGATATAATGAAAGGCCAATAAGATGCTTTCGTTTTTTATGTGAAATGGTTAGTTGAGTGATGTAATTTCCGATTAAATGTGTTGCCGTACGCTGCGCCTAAACATTCCAATTCGAAAAAATCTCCAAATTAAAAAATTCTGTTAGTATAACGAAATAAAAATTGCAATCTGTTGGACTTAGCAATTAAATATAATATCAATTATATTTGCTTCCCTAAAAACTTTTATACATGTTCCAAAATTTGTAATTCTGTAGTCCTTGTTAAAAATAAAAGGGACCTTTACGTGACGTTATTAAATTTTAATTCAACTATTTTAGTATAAAAATACTAAGCTTTGTTTCTTGAGCGTGTTTTTCTTCAACAAAAATTTTTAGTAAAATTTCTGGACAAGGAATTCAAATTCATACAAATTCATAAAAAAAAAATCATTTTCAAATTCTTTTCAATTAGAATTTTTATTGAATGCATACGACAAAAGTTATAACATTTAACTGTTAAAAATATTGCATACTTTTCGGTGCAAAATTGTAAAGTATAATATGCTCTGTAAAATATTTTATTTCTTAATATGGAATTAACTTTAATATTAAGCTACCAATTTAATGTTGTATTATGATTTAAATATTATATTAAATGCAAAGAACAGTAACCTTATTGAGGTAATTCCGTAAATTTTAAGCTTTATTTGTATAATGAAGTAAACATTTATACATATAATAATTTTCTACACAAAATTCTTGCAATTACTTCCTGTTGATTTGTTAAATTCAATTCTATTTTTAATTTATTATCATATTTTTTTCCCTTACCTTTTGAAGCCATGAATACTATTTATTTTATGTTCAAATTACATTTATATCTCAAATATTCTGAAAGAGAATTGCGAAAAATTAAAATATTTTTTTCTTATTAATTTTATAATTTATGTTAATCATATTCTATTAAATTAATAATTAAATTTACTGATCTCTTTTATAAGATTAATAATAATAAATTATAAGAGAAATCGAAATGAGAACAAAAACTTAATAATAACTAGAGTAATTTTTTAAAATTAGTTTTAATAAATTTTTGCAAAAAAGTTTCAAAGATAAATAAAAGTTTTCATTATAAATTTTTTAATATTTTTGTTGTTATATTCAGTTGTAAAGACAGGAACAACATTAACAACAACAACAACAGGAGCAACGAATGTAATATAAATCATCCTAAAAATAACCGTTATTATTATTATTATTTCTATTATCTCTATATCTCTTCCTTTTTGTTATTATATTTCTATTTTATTATTTTTCGTCCTGTTTTTTGCTATCCAATTATCTTGCCACACCTTGCATAATAATAATATCAGGAAACCAAACACGCATATAATTTTCATAAGAAAATAAAGTGCACCAAATATCTTAATTTCTCAAAGGTGTATACTCACGACTACGTACTTGAAAAACATAAACACTAATACAAACAACATTATTATATATGTGTGTATGTATATGTATAAAGTAGTAAATATTAATATATTTTCATAGTTATCCTTATTGGATTAAAAATAACAAAAAGAAAATAGAAATTTAAAAAAAATATTAAACAAAACAAAACTATAACAAAAAAATAAAAAGGAAATACAATTACAATTTACAGTTAGGATTTTTAACATTATTTTTTTTTTCATATACATACATAAATACGTTAAAGTCCTGTAAATATATTCATATTAAATATTATTGCATACAATACATAATTACATAAAATTATATGTACACACTTACGATCATAGTTATATTCAAAATTTGAAAAAAAAAAATATTTTATATAATATAATATACACCTAAAAATAACAACAACCAAATAAGGAAGAAAAGAACACAACAAGGCTAAAAGCTTAAGAATGTAATCCTATAGTTGGAAGAAAAAGCCACTACCAATATTATACGTGTATAGGTACATAAAATTTGAGTAAGAAAAACAAAGCAAAAAAAAAAAAAAATATTAAAAAAATCGAAACTGAACAGAGTGTGAAAAAAATGTAAGGCAAACAAAACTATAGAAAAATGAAAAAAACTAAAAAAAAAAAACAAAATACACAATTGATTGCATACAATTTATTGTCGGGCATATCCTTTTTTAAGCACACAAAAGAATGCAACTGTAATTGTGCTTCTGTTAAACTTTGAACGAAAAAATGAAGAAGAAAAAAAATTTTTATTTTTTTTTGTAATTTTTCCTTTCATTTTTACTTATTTTTGGTTGATAATTTTTTCTTTCCCTCCACTTACATACACATAAAAAAACAGGATTTTTCTTTTCCTAACCTTACGAAAAAAAAATCGCACCACATTGACTACACTCATTACACTCAAATATTTTCTTCTTTAGTAAAAATTAAGGTTACCAATTTATTTGTATTATTAATTTAATTTTACAGAAATATGTGATTTCTCCAGTAATTTTTTTCACCAAAATAGCGAATTTAATGAAAACTATTCAGCCGCGCGTTAAAAAAAATGTTTTTGATTCGTAATAAAATGAGCTCCACCTCTTACTTAGTTCGGTTTGTGTAAAATGTGAAAAATTTAAGCTGGCTAGATCGAAATATCATAATTATTATTTATGTATATCGCGCCAAAATAATTACAAATAATTACAGATTCACCCAAATTTTTAATTCTATATAACAGATTGATAAACTGAGGGCTCGATATATACTTAACGGATAACAAGTTAGTGGGTTTATAGCACATGTAGTTATCTATTTCTACTACTCGTAGTCTCTGACATCGCATTGTTGTCAAAAATTCGATGTGAAAGCGTTACCATGCTTAATGAATGCAATTTGGTCAATAAAGAATAATATAAATAATTTTTAACTAAAAATTCTTCTACTTTCTCATCTTTTTTAAAAACTTTTATTTTAAAAGCATAAAACAGCAAAATCAGCTACTTTTTCAGATAAATTGCGAAAATATGGCAACTCTGTAGAACAAAAAAAATTCCCTTTATACCTCTTCCTGTTATATACTTAAAATATAAATTCTATATACTCTTATTATACATATACACATGGAATTAAGGTATAATAAATGGATTTTTACTAATAGTATAATAAGAGAGTTAACTTTAAGACAAGCAAATCTAACTGAACATGAAGTTTGGTTGTTTGTATGCATGAAAAATAAAAAAATAGAACAGAAAAAAAATTTTTGAAAAAAAAAATATCCTACTCATCTTTTTTTCGTCATCCTTTTCCTAGTCCTTATATTGCATTTTGAGGCAAAAAAAAATGTAACACTAAAATGAATCGAATAAGGACAACGATGAGAAAGAAAATAAAACTGCAAAAAAAAAAAAAAAAGAGTCCTGTAAAAACAACGTCAACGACGACGATAATATTTTTTTACAATATTTTTTATTTTTCGCCTTTAGATTTTTTTAGATTTTGCCTGATTCTCTTATATAAAATTCAGTTCCTTATTTTATTCCTCTTTCTACAAAAAAAAAATTTTTTTATTTTATATAATGCTTTCTTATATAATTACATTGCTCTTATATATATCACATTTATTTTACTACCTCTCCGCACCCATTCACTTACACCACACAAAATAAACATAATATGAAAATCTATAAAAATAAAAAATCCTAAATTATATGTAAAAGGAGCGAGTGCTAGTGAAGTAGATTATTGCACATATTCTGAAAAAAATAAGATACAAAAAAAATATAAAATTCCCGAACAAAAATGAATTAAAACCAAAAAAGAATTCAAGAAAAAATACTACAAAAAAAAATATATAATATTGTGTAAGGACGAAAAAACAAAATCATGAAAAATATAGTGGAAGAACACAGTAACAATACAACATTAAAAAATAGAAAAACAAAAACACAAATAAGGACCCAATATGAAGAGGAAAATTTTAAACTTTGATAAAAAATCAAAAAAATATAAAAAATTTCACTGAATTTTGTTGTTGCTGCTTTTATTGGTTTTACCATCTCTTCTTTATTTCAAAAAAATTTTTTTTCCCCATTTCATTTTATATATCGTTGGCAAGAACTTAAACACAAAATGACAAGAAGAAGGGAAAAAAATAAAAAATTGGAAGAAAATTGCTTGAAGCGTTAATGATGAAGAAACAAAATCTTTTAGATTTACAAAGCAAGGAAAAAAAAAAAGAAAAATCTTTTCTAATTACATACATTGAACATATACTTACATTTAAAAAATTAAATATAAAATAAAATAAAAGATAAGAAGAAAAAAAAAATTGATAAAAAGGATAAAATTAATTTATTAAAAACCATGAACTACCACACTTGCATTCATACATTTATAAAATATTGTCTTTGCTTATACTCGGACCATCAATATAATGAAGATCAACTCTCGTATAATTCCAATTTATTCGAATTTTTTATACACTTGTAGAATTAGTTAAGTGGTTAGTTATTCCAATTTATCAGAATTTCTTATACACGTGAAGAGCTAAGTGGTTATTAAAGCGATATTCGAAGGATTTCGAAAGACATTTAGACT